ACTTGGCTCATCAGGCTTGCATTCCTGATGCCTTTACTAACTGAGTTACCTTCCTGGCCCCTCATCACGTTCCATATAGAAGGCATTTGGGCATCCAAAGATAAAACTGTTACATGTCCCTGTTTAATCTCGGAAGACGATGCTTTATTACAAATCACAAGCTTTTCTGATTGAAGCTTCTCACTGAGAATTTTAGACTCATAAACCTTCCTAGCTGTGGATTTCTCAAAATAATGATAAGGCTACCATCTTGATATTTAGCCAGACATTTTCTTCTCTGCTGTTCTTTTCCTACAGCTTGTCTTTATGAAAGCTTTTCACTTTATGAAATTTGCCAAAGTAAATCTGTTTCATTAAGCTAAACCACAGTGGAACTCTTCCATCATGCGACTATAATGCAAGGTATTCCCACTGAAGACATTGTTGTAGGTTTTTTTCCATTGCAGTCAGTGACAGAATGGATCGCATGGTGCTCGTCTCTTGGGCTCAACAAAGTAATTCTGTGAGGTTCCACCCCGAGGTAGAACTGGTAAACGGGAGGTATACGTATTTTCAACTTTCCCCATTACTGCCAATGGTTCTGCAAAGAGGTGATTTCGGCTTGCGGCTCCCTCCAGCACTGGAAGAGAGTTGTTTTCTCACATCCTTGATAATCCCTAGGCTCATCACATTTAATTTTTGTCACTCTGATGAGTGTGGGAAGAGATGTTCTTGTTTTAATCTGTTTTGCCTCCTGATGAGGTGAGCTTTTCCATGTTTGTACTGTTACCACTTCCTCCTATCTGAGTCGCATTTCCAACCCCTTTCTCAAGGTTCGAATGAATTGTTTGGTCATTTTAGTTGTTAATTAAGTGATTTATTTATTTTAATTTCATGTGCATTGGAGTTTTGCCTATGAGAGTGTTGGATGGATCCCTTGGAACTGGAACTACAGACAGTTGTGACTGCCATGTGGGTCCTGGGAATTGAACCCGGGTCCTCTGGAAGAGTAGTCAGTGCTCTTAACCACTGAACCATCTCTCCATGCCCTAGTTGTTTATTTAAAAAGAAACAAAACAATTTTTATGGGCTGGGGAGATGGTTCCGAGGTCAGAAACACACAGTACTCTTGCAGAGAACCCAAGTCTAGTTCCCAGCACCCACACTAAGCAATTCACAACCACCTTTAACTCCAGCCCCAATCTGAATTTGATGCCCTCTTCTGGACTCCATGTGAACTGCATGCATTTGTACACACACACACACACTAAACCTTTTAAAAATTTTATTGAAAGAGCTTCTATTTATTTAAGTGGCAGAATTTACTATATAAAAACATTATCATCTGTCCACGTCCTTATGTCTTATTAGGCCTACCCTACTCTGCTAATAATAAAGGATGTTTATGTTTTCCTCTACTTTTTCCACATTTGGAGATGTCATAAATCTGTAATTTATTTTTACATGTATGCAGTGAACAAGAGTTTTGGCTGTATTGTTGACTGAAAATGTAATCGGTACAGCATGGTACAGTGTGTAGTAGATGCTCACTAATGTCTCTCTAACCCTCCCGCCCCGAGCCCAAAGTGCGGGGTCATTCCCATTCCAAACCCACGCTTCGTATACTTTTCCAAAGTCTACACAATTATAACTAAGTGATTTTTAACAAGTACCTCTAAGATTCTTTTTCTACTGCAAATGGATTTTTTTTTCAAAATTAAGTTCTTGCAGCTGTTCTTCCGATCTATGACCTACACATGTAATGTGTGGCATGATAAACATGGTGATGCTATGGACTCTTGTGCATGAATTTACACAGCCACCTCACTGATTTCTTATGTTCATCTTGATAACTATGTGCAACATCGTTAATTCCCATTAATTGATTCTATTAATAACTACTATATTCTATAATAGTTTAGTTTTTTTTCCTTTTTTTCTCTATGTTACACATGCACGTGCATGTGTGTGTGTGTGTGTGTGTGTGTGTGTGTGATGCCTGCCAGCTGCCCTAGTTTCCTCTCTATTGTTGTAACACAACACCCTGACACACGCAGCTTAAGGGGAAAGGGGTGAGTGTAGCTCAGGTAACAGCCCGCCATGATGGGAGGCATCCAGGTGGCAGGAACGTGAAATAGCTAGTCATACCCACAGACAAGAGCAGAGAAGGAATGCGTGCAAGCTTGTACTCGGCTCTATAGCTCCACTCTTCTACAGTTCAGGATCCCCTGCCTTGGGAAGGATGCTTCCCAGAGTGAGCTGGGTCTTCCCACATCAATTAACTATCAAGACAGCCCCCATAGAAACGCCCTCAGATGCCCCACAGACACTCCCACAGGCACTCCCTCAGGCACGCCCTCATACCCGCCCAACCGAGACAGTCCCTCATTGAGGGTCTCTTCCCAGGGGATTCTCGACTCTTGTCAAGCTGACAAAATGAACCATCGCACCAGGCAAGCACACCACTATTGAGATTCATCCCCAGCCCCACTCTCTTGTTTTTCTGCACTAACTAGTACCTTCCCACGGTATCAGATAAAAAATCAACACCTCTCTTCAACCCCTAAATTATATTACCATCTTGAAGCATTTCCTTCATTATAATAAGTACCCTTTAATCTTCTATTATTGTTGTCTATTGTTTTGATGCTACAGAGACACCACAATGAGGCAATGTCCGTGCCTTTACAGCACTCTGTGCTCAGCAGCCTTGCGTGTGGGTTTACCAATTTCTTCCATATGCTCCTCTCCTTCAGTTTGAACCCTGTGGAAGTATCTGTTAGTTGTTCTTTCTTTTTAAAGCACTTTAATTGATTTTAAGTGTGTGTGTTTATATGTGTCCATGAGGGCACTGACACCCTGGCGCTGGAGTTACAAGTGGCTGGGAGCCACACCTGACATGGGTGCTGGGGACCAAACTATGATGCACTTCTAACCCTGAGCCATCTCTTTAGTTTGAGCGTCTCAGTCTCCAACTGTCGTGAACCAGTAGGTACGGCTGATTCACAGTTCCTCCCTATGTGTGTAGGCCTGAGGCCAAATTTCCGGTCCCGGTAAAGGTACAAAACCCCTACCCCCGGATACCAGGGTTACAGGACCCGATGTCTCTCTCAGTTTCTATGACATTCGCTCGCTGGTCTTCTTCCCATTCTGGTTCGGGCTCCCTTCTGACTCCAGGACCGAAGGATTTCCCTTTCTTTGTTTTAAGCTCAGTTTTATATTGTTATATTTCATTCTGTGTTTGTCATAGGAAGTGGGGGAGGGTCAACACTAATCTTTCCAGTTACTATTACTGGAAGTGCGCAGAGTCTATTTATAACGCATTTCCCTCTCGCTGTGTTTATGACTCCTTTAAAATAAATACCATATATTCTGATAGAGAAAACAGACATGACAGACAGCTGGAGACGTCTTCTGTTTCAGCAAAAGTTATAAAGTTTCTAACCTTTCTCTTGATGGGTACTTAGAGAACAGTCCCCAGGCAATCACTTAAGCGAATGCAACTGTAGCTGAGAAATGGAATTTTCCAGTTTCTATTTTCCCCAATCGTCCTACATGTCTCCCTGCTCCTTGGAGGTGATGCCTGAGGGGCACCCACTTCTGTGTGCTTGATACCCTCCATACTGAGAAGACCAGAGCAGAAGATCCGTCTCTAGCCATAACTAGGGCCCAGTGACTTTCGCAGATAAACATTTGGCTGGGGCCTGAACTGCTTCTAAACCAAGGAACCCGCAGCTGCCAACAGAAGAATGAGATCCATCTCATCTGCATTTCTGCGTGACTCAAGAATCCCTGGGCAGTTGAAAGCATATTGGGTTGATCAGCCCAAGGCCTTCGCTGTCAAGGTACTGGATTGGAAGACTTCCACACACTGCTGACGGGAGTGGAAATCTCTTCTTGTGACACTATAGTCTAGTTCAGCCTTTGGGAGAGGGACTCATCTAAACATGCTCCCCGCCACCACCCCAAAAGTGGATGACCACATTCAAGGCACTGGGGATACGGCAGCCTTCACGGGGAGAGCAGTGAGTAAAGGAGTTGTTCAGCTAGTGTGTTGGAAATGCTTCTCAACAGTCACAAATGAGCCAGTGGATACAGCAGTGGCAGGCCTGTGTGTGTGTGTGTGTGTGTGTGTGTGTGTGTGTGTGTGTAAATATACCGTGCAAAGGCTAATACAAGGTTTGTTTGTTGAGCAGTTAATCTCAATAAAATATATTTCACATACAACCACAAATATTCTTTGTGTGTGTTTTGGGTTTGTGTGTGTTACATGAAGGCAAGAAGTCAATGTTGGGCACCGCTGTCAACCACTCTCCGTCTAGTTTTTGAACGTGGAGTCTCTCATTGAACCCGGAGCACACTGATCTGGATAGACTGGCTGGCCACTGAGATCCTGGAATAATCCTATCTCTGCCTCCCAACACAGGTACATGCTGGGCTGGAGATCTGAACTCAAGGGCCTTCCTACTTGCATTGCACACAACCCCAACCCTTCACTACAAATATTCTGACCCAGAGAAACGCTTAACAGAAAAGCAGTGGCTGGATGGGGATACAGAATGGGGAGAGGACTGGACAAGCCCCAAACCATTATGTCATTGGCAGTAAGGAAACAGAAAAAAATACAGTTTGTAAAGCAGAAAGCATATCCTGGGTTAGTGTTGGTTTATAATGTACCCAAAAGGGGAATAATGACCACAGGAAGGGGCGGGGTCCCCTTAGGGAAATGGAAGCCACCTTAGCCACCATTAGTTCTCTGGGAACTCCCGGGTAGTCATCGGACAGAATGTGGAAAACCTATTAAGCAAGACCCACAGCCACAGGGGCTGCCGGGTCCCCAACTATGTCAAGTCACAGTCATTTCCTCTTCCTGGTTAACGCTGACCTGGGTATGGATCCGATTTCATCTTACATCATCCAAGGTAGCTTCAAGAGAAGCTTCACATTCTCCTGATGATTCTGGTTTTGAAGCAAGAATATATGGGTGGCTGTCAGGGGAGCGCCAGGCGGGAGGGACTCACCTGTTGAGATACACCCGCTTCTCAGTGAACTGCCCGTTGCCGTGGTGAGGGTCCTCGAAGGGTTCATTCTGCACGACCTCCACGCCTTCGCCCCGGTCACTCTGCTCGTGGCTGTGCTTGCTGATCATATACAGCTGCCCGATTTTGTACTGCAGAGCAAACGGAGAAGGGAGAGACAGAGAGGTCAAACCCAGCTGGCCTCTGACGAATCCCCACACTGGCCTCCACCGACAGGATGCCCAGCAGCTAATCACATCCACCTTCTGCTGAGAAAAGCCAGCAGCCGCTTGGGTCTAAGGTGACTGTCCTTGGAGCTTGGCAGAGAATTGGCGGCGAGCATAAGGCACGTTCCTGGGAAGAATGTAAGTGGCCATACCAAGTGCCCCCTGGGGCTCAGGCCCATGCTGAGCGCAGAAGCTGGGAACCAGAATCTGCCCTGCTGTCCATTCTGGCCCTACAGGGTTAAAGGCAGTCGGTGTTCTATTTGGCTTGACCAAAGGCAGCCTAGGGTGTGTTATTTCTGTCCTGGCTTTCTAGCTAATTGGCAGCATTGCTGGGCACAGGGATTAACCGTCACCTGCATCTGCTCCCGCCTAGAATAGCAATTCTCACAGGTGGCTAGACAGGATCGTGAGAAAGGTTGGTTTTGTCACACCCAGGCCAACTTGGTCTCGTTTTGTTTGTGAGACAGACCTTATGAAGCACAAGCTGGCCTTGAACTCACCATGTAGCCAGGGATGGCATTACACTTCTGCTCCTTCTGCCACTGAGAACTCCCGGGTCCTGGGGTTATAGGTGAGTACCACCAACCCCATTTTATTCAATGCTGGGGACTGGACCTAGGGCTTCACTCTTGCTAGTCAAGAACAATTGTTTCTGAGACAGAGTCTCTGTCAAGCCCTCACTGGTCTGGAACTCTTGATAATCCTGTCTCAGGCATTCACATGAGCCACTAACACTAAGGCCCCCGGATGCTTACAAAGCTCCAAATCTCCACGTCCCACAACTCAGAACCAGAGTTCTATTTCACCCAAATGTACTAACAATGTGGGGGGCTTCCGGAGTTCAAAGGCCACGTGTCAACCTTACACTGGGGTCATGGAGCAATCCAGGACTGAAAGGCTTTCTTTACTATCTTTACCCCCTAGCTGTCCAACTCTATTTCCTGCCTCTCTCCAAGTATGAGGCTGTAAGATGGCCCAGTTCAGTAGAACACAGCACTTGCCACCAAGCCTGATGACCTGAGTTTGGTCCCTAAAACCCACTTGGTAGAAGGAGAGAACTGGTTCATGAAGTTGTTCACTGGCCCCTACGCATGCGCGACGGCAGTTGCACCCCACACACGACTAAAATTTAATACATTTAACAAAAAAGAAGCAACAATAACAATTCAAACAGAAACAAAACAAACAAACCAAAAGCCAACCCCAAACCAGCAGGTGTTTCTTCCCTGGTGGCCTTCCAAGGTGGCAAAATGAATTTGGTGTCACGCTCTGTATGTGTGGGAGGGGAGGGAGGCATAATTTTTGCACAAGGGCATTTCTGCTTGGGTCAGGACTCTGCTGTGGTCTTCTTTACACACTCAGTGTGAGTCAGCGCACAAAGTCACCACCTCCAAGACCTGAATCTTGGGCAAGCTAATGAGGATGCCCAGTTGTTCCTAAAAGGATCCTGGCTAGCAAGGATACATAGTCCCCGTCTGTGTGCAAGAGAGAGGAATCTATGTTAACTTTAGAGGCAACTGAAATATTCAAGTCAGCACCAGACCTCAGAGGTCTCCTGTCGCAAGCTACCCACCCCACTACATGCTGAGGCAGGGAGTGTGAAGATGCTCCGCACAGGCTCCACTCTGCAGCCAGCTCAAGGGACCAGGCCCAGTAACCATGACAACGAACCAGGCTATTGGCTGGATCTTCTCCAAGGGCTATGCTTCCTATCTGGCCGAGGTCCTGTCCAGAACGAGCCCGTGTTTAAAATGCTTTTAATGTGTGTTTGTGAACTTGTAGGGAGGGAAGGCATAAGATAAGAGCAGGGAGAGGACAGGAAACAGGGAGCTCGGTCCATTTTTAAAACAAATCAGAGAATCAGAGGCTTGACCTGGCTTCCCCTGTGTCCAGTACAGCTTCTACTTCTTGTTCCGGAAAAACTAACAAGGATGTCCCGCAAGGACAAAGCGATACCCGTGAGAGCAACTGCCCACCCTACATGAGCTGAGGCCAGTGCTCTGCCACTCAGCGGGTGCGGGGGGGGGGGGTGTCAACGGCAACCGCTCATGCGTGGTGTTTAAAAACCCGATGGTCACAGACAGCGGAATATTACTCAGCCACCAAAAGGAATAACGTGTTGATACTGAAGCCACTTAATGTGTGTTCTGGGTTGAAGTGTTTCCTCCTCTTGGAGTTCAAATCTTGAAATCTCTTGGTGGGATCATATTTTAAAAGATGCCTTCGGGATAGGCTTTAATCCAGCGTAACTGGCGTCCTTATACAAAAGAGAAATTAGGGCAGAGGCAAGCAGGGGTACGGAAAGACTGTGTGAGGAGCAGGTGGTCTTGAGAAGCCACAGATGGGGCCCAGGGCAGGCGCGCCCGGACCAGACCTTCAGAAAAAGAACTCTTCGCTCACGTTCCAATTGTGTTTCTGATGTCGGGCTCAGAAGGAAATAAATCGCTGTGGTTTAACTACCCAGTATGGGTCACTTTGTCAGGCAGGCCTAAGGAAGCAGCACAGGGGCTGGGGACAGCTCAGTCAGTACAGAGCTTGCCACACAAGCATAAGGCACTGAGCGTAGACACCCCCCTCCCCCCACCCCCACAACACCCAAAAAGCCGAGTATGGGGGCAGGCATCTAGACTCTCCACAGTGGGGAGGTAGAGGCAGGAGGGTCCCTGGAGCCTGCTGGCCAGCAAGCGAAGGTGCTTGCTACACAAACCTGACTTCCTGGGACCAGCGTAAGCGGGGAAGGAAGACTGACCGACAGCACAAAGTTGTCTTTTCACCTCCACACGCAGGCCACGGCCCATGTGCATGGACACACAATAACAACAATACTAAATAATCTGGAGAGATTGAGGGAGGTACTTGATGTTGACTTCTGTCTATCTTCACACACACACAGACAGACAGACAGACAGACACACACACACACACACACATACACACAGACACCCCTATTACGATAGGTCCAAAGTAATGTAACGTTCTGGGTAGGGGGGATAGATGCACCTTGGGAAAATACTAGATGCTTCTGGACCGCTCGCTCTAAAGGGATTATTAGGGAGGTGAGAATGGAACTCCCATGTGCCCAGCACACCCCAGGCCCTGGCCTGATCTGCAGTGCTGGGGGTGGGGTGGTGCTCACAAGCCCCTCACCCGACCCCGGGATCGAAAGGTAGTTAATGATTGCTAGGGGAAGAAAGAGGTGTGTCCTTGTGTCTTATAGCCACTAGTCCATGTTACTGGAAGTAAATCGCCCCTAACTTATGCTCCTATAAGCAGCCCAAATGAAACTAGGGTTATCAAAAGCTGGGGAGTAGAGGGGTGGCACACAGGCATGAAGGTAGAATGGGGAGGGGGCTGAGGGAAGGGGATCAGCAGCAAAAGGAGAGGAGACAAGAAGGTCATGGGAGATCATTATGATTAAAATGCATTGCACACATGCATGACAACGCCATGTTATAGAAAATCGATATACACTTATAAAATATGTTTAAAAGGTTAATTTCATGTCTTGTGGATTTTACCTCAAGTTTTAAAAGAAGTTCCGGGTCTGAAGTCACCCGCACTCAAAGTCCTGTCAAGGTCTTTCTCTCTAGAAAGCTTGGAGAAGAGCGACATCAACCAGCAACACTGTCTCTGGGAGCTTTAAAATGTAGGGTGCCGAGGTCGATGCGGGACATAGAAAAGCCATTAGCCAGACGCGAGTCAGCCTGGCTGGGCACAGCTCGAGTGTTTTCTGCTCTGGGGAGATGGATCCAGGCAAGGCAGGGGCTGCTGATTCACAGTGGCCAGCGGGGACCCAGCTGCTTGGCCTCATTGATCATTCCCGCGGCTCCTTATGGGCCAGCCCAGGGCAGACACCAGCCTTAGCTCACCATGACTGTGTCAGTCTGGGGGCTGGGGGGTAACCTGCAGGTGCTGGGGGTGGCGGGACAAGGGCTCCACGTCTGTCCCTCCCTTCCTTCCTTCCCAGGGAAACCAGAACTGGTCTGCTGGCATGGCCATCAGAGAGAACCATGTAGAAAAAGTCTGTAACGGTTTTTATTATAATATCCCACTTTTGACTCTCAGACACGAGCAGCAAACGGTGTCGCCGCTATGGGGAGGGGACAGATAGTTCTTGAGCTATGTAAGAAAGTCACATCCAGGGTCTGGAGAGATGGCTCAGCAGTTAAGAGCACTGGCTGTTCTTCCAGAGGACCCAGGGTCACTTCCCAGCATCCACATCCAGTGGTTCACAACCACTTATAACTCCAGATGCAAGGGATCGGACACACTCTCTGAGCTGCATGGGCACCTGCACAGCTGTGCAGACAAACTCACATATACACATAAGCAAAAGAAAAGCCAAGTCTGGGGTCACCCCAGACCTTTGACATTTTGATTACGGGGCAAGGGTTACGAAGTTTACTTATGGGGGTACACTAAAGGCCAAACCACTATGGTACAGCGTGGTGAGGGCACTCACCAGGACTCTGGGGGACTAAATAGTACCAGGCTATAGGAGTTCATCCTTGGGAGGCCTACCCTTTTTTCCACACTCACGCAAAGTTCCCTATGTAAGTCGGTGAAGACACATGCCCGGATCACCACTTTCAGACAAATTTGAATGTTGCATGAAGGAACTAAAACCGAAGATGCACAGGAAGGCTCTGATGGTATCAAGGCCCAAGAACTGGCATTGCGTAGCTTTATGGACCACCAACCAGCCCTGATTGGCATCTTCTACTCACTTCTAATACTCACAATGAGCCAACCGGGTGGTATCAGCAGATGAGGAAACAAGAATTTGTAGAAGCCAAAGAAGGTCAGTGCTTTCATGATTCATGTGTGTATACACGCATGTGGAGGCCAGGTCAGCCTCAGGTGTCTGCCCTTGGGTACTGTTCACCTCAAGTTTTGAGACAGGGTCTTTCCCTGGTCTAGAGTTT